GGCGCCTGCCACAACGCCCGGCTATTTTTTGGCTGCAGCCGTCATTGTTGTTTTGGTGGGTCCGGGCTGGGGATTCGAACCCGCCACCTTAGATGTACGTGGTTGGCGCCTTAGCTGGTTGAGCGCCGAGCCCTCTTTGAGGGTTCTTAATAACAGCTGAGAATACAAGATGATGTATGTATATAAGGGGATAAGTACTACACAGCACAAGTTAGACACTAAATAAATTATATTAATAACCTAGAGTTATAAGGAAATGAGTAACAAATAGTCACCAGTGACACCAAATGGGAAATCTAGGTTCTACCATGAAAGCAAAGTTTGTTATTCATTAATTTATTCTGTGAGCTATGTAAGCATTTAAAAGCTATAGTCTGGGTTCAGCACCTGTAGCTCAAGCAGCTAGGGCGCCAGCCAGTACACTGGAGCTGGCAGGTTCGAATCTAGCCTGGGCCCGCCAAACAACAATGATGACAACTACAACAACAACAAAAATAGCTGGGCATTGTGGTGGGCACCTGTATTCCCAGCTACTTGGGAGGCTGAGGCAAGAGAATTGCTTAAGCCCAAGAGTTGGAGGTTGCTGTGAGCTGTGATGCCACAGCATTCTATCCAGGGACTTGAGACGGTCTCCAAAAAAAAAAAAATAAGGGTGGCACCTGTGGCTCAGTGGGTAGGGTGCCAGCCCCATACACCAAGGGCGGCGGGTTCAAATCCAGCCCCGGCCAAACTGCAACAAAAAAATAGCCGGGTGTTGTGGTAGGTGCCTGTAGTCCCAGCTACTCCAGGCTGAGGCAAGAGAATCGCCTAAGCCTAAGAGTTGGAGTGCTGTGAGCTCTGTGACGCCACGGCACTCTACCGAGGGCAATAAAGTGAGATTCTGTCTCTACAAAAATAAATAAATAAATAAAATAAAAACTATAGTATGGGTTTGGCGCCCATAGCACAGTGGTTACAGCACCAGCCACATACACCAAGGCTGGCGGGTTCAAACACGGCTAGGGCCAACTAAAACAACAATGACAACTGCAACAAAAAATATCCAGGCATTGTGGTGAGCACCTGTAGTCCCACTTACTTGGGAGGCTGAGGCAAGAGAATCGCTTAAGCCCAAGAGTTGGAGGTTGCTGTGAGCTGTGAAGCCACTGCACTCTATTGAGGACAACATAGTGAGACTCTGTCTCAAAAAAAAACCCCAAAAACCAAAACACACAAAAATTACAGACTGTATGTGCCAACTCTATGACCATGGTAGTCTGTTTAACAATGTTGCACTATAGGGCAGTGCCTGTGGCTCAAAGGAGTAGGGCGCTGGGCCCATATGCCAGAGGTGGCAGGTTCAAACCCAACTCTGGCCAAAAACTGCAAAAAACAAAACAAAACAATGTTGCACTATAACAGCAGATGCTATAAGCTACAGTTTATGAAAGAAGCAATTTATCTGAATTAGAAAAGTGCCTAACTACTTTGGGAAACAATTTGGCAAAAATCAAGTAAAGCTACAAAGGAACACATCCTAAGACTCAGAAAATCTATACCCTTAGAGAACTCTCTTAAACATTATTATTATTTTTTGAGACAGAGTCTCACTCCTTAGTAGAATGCCATGGCGCTATAGCTCACAGCAACCTCAAATTCTTGGGCTTAACCAATTCTCTTTGTCTCAGCCTCCCAAGAAGCTGGGACTACAGGCACCTGCCACAATGCCCAGCTATTTTTTTGTTGCAATTGTCATTATTGTTTCATCAGGCCCAGGCTGGGTTCGAACCCGCCACCCTCAGTGCATGTGGCTGGCACCATAACCACTGTGTTACAGGCATTATCTTATATATACAGCATATATGTACAAATTCATATATATGTGTATGTGTGTGTGTATATATATGGGTTTTTTTTTGTTGTTTGAGACAGAGTTTCACTTTGTAGCCCTCAGTAGTGTGCCATGGCATCATAACTCATAGCAACCTCAAACTCTTGGGCTCAAGCGATTCTCTTGCCTCACCTGTAGCTGGGACTACAGGTGTCCACTACAACGCTCAGCTATTTTTAGAGACCGGGGTCTTGATCTTGGTCAAGCTGGTCTCAAAACTGTGCTTAAGGAATCTATCCACAGCCTCCCAGAGTACTAGCATTACAGATGTGAGCCACTGCGCCCAGCCTACAAATATATTTATAGCAAAAAAAGTACCAGGTAAATATATTTATAGCAAAAAAAGCACCAGGTAAGTTATGATATATTCATTTAATGAAATATCAGGCATTGGTGAAAATGAACTAGTGCTACTCATTTCAACATGGATGAATCACACAATGTTGAGTGAAAAAAGTTGGAAAACATTTATAGTATACCATATAAAGTTTTTAAATTGGCAAAAATTCTACATATTGTTTAGGAATAGATATACACATGACAAGGATATGAGAAAAATGCATGGGAGTGATACACATTATTTTTAGGAGAGTGCTTATTAACCTCTAAGAGATGGGAGAGTGAACAGAAAAGTTACCAAAGGGCTTTGTTTATGTTAGTAATAGTTTCTTTCTTTTTTTTTTTTTTGAGACAGAGTCTCATTTGTTGCCCCTGGTTGAGTGCTGTGGTGTCATAGTTTATAGCAACCTCAAACTCTTGGGCTCAAGTGATTCTCAGCCTTCTGCGTAGCTAGGACTATAGGCACCCACCACAATACCCAGCTATTTTCAGAGACATGGTCTTGTTCTAGCTCAGAGCTGGTCTGTAACTTATGAACTCAGGCAATCTGCCTGCCTCAGCCTCCCAGAGTGCTGGGATTGCAGGTGTGAGTCACCATGCCCATCCTCAATAGTTTATTTCTTAAGCCAGAAAATGAGAATATCAGAGATTATTTTATTACGCCTTATACCTTTTTCTGATTCTTAAACATTCCATAATTTTTACAGGATGCCAGAAATATCTGATTTCATCTGAGTTCAGGGATGATTTCTTAACTGTTGAGACTTTAAAAATACTTTGTTTTAATCTTAAAAGGCAGATTTTTAGGGTACTCACCCAATGAACTCCAGTAATAAAGACATATCAAGTTCAGGTGGAATACGAAACACTGACTCTAGAACTTTCTTAGATCTTCCTTTGCTCGAAGGGACTGGCTGCGGAACAGCTATTCGATAGCCAAACAAAAAAGCTAATTTAGAATAAAATTTTCATAAATTGAGATATTTGAAAAAATAATCACACAGGTATCAAAACTATAAAAATTTAATTTAAAAATTTATGTTTGTTAACCATTTAAAAGATCACAAAGGACTCAACCTCCCTATCTTTGATAATATCAGCTTACTATCAAAACCAGTGAAATTAAAGGCAAGCTTGGGGACCACCTTATAACGGAAGACAGGCATGTGTGGTTGGTTTATCAGGGCCACAGAGAGTGCCCAGGAGGACAGTAACATTCATAGGTAACCCTGTATAAACACTACTGTGCGCCAGAGCTCATGCGTAGCACTTTATATGTATTATTTCTTTTAATCCTTACCATAATCCCATGATATAGGTATTACTACTACTTCTTTTTTGTTTGTTTTTTGAGAGTCTCAAGCTGTCACCCTGGCTAGAGTGCTATGGCATCACAGCTCACAGCAACCTCAAACTCTTGGGCTAAAGCGATTCTCTTGCCTCAGCCTCCCAAGTAGCTGGGACTACAGGTGCCCACCACAACACCTGATTTTTTTTTTTTTATTGTTGTTGTTGCAGTTGTTATTGTTGTTTTATCTGGCCCAAGCCAGTTGGAACCTACCAGCTTTGGTGTATGTGGCCCGTCCGTCCTACTTTTTTTGGTTTTTAACTGATAAAGAAACGGAGCCTTGAGATTAGGCAATTTGACTAAGGTCACCCAGGTAGCAAGTGGAAGAACAATGATTTAAAACCCAAATCCATCTGGCTTCTATTCTGGAACATTAACATCATAATAAAAACTAATGTTTGAGCAGTTACTATGTGCCAGGCACTGTTTTAAGTGCTTATATTACTCAATATATGTTTTTTTTTAAATGAAGTGATATTATTATCACTATTATAGATGAGGAAACAGAGGTTGAACTAATTTGCTAAAATCCAATACCTAGCATGCTTTTTAACCTTAAAGTGGCAAAGGTAGGAATAAACTCAGAAAATCTAGCTCCAAAGCCTATACTCTTTAATTCTTACAATCAATTAAGGTTGATTAAAACATGGCATTACCTTCAAATTTTCTCTTTGATCACATAATGACCAGTTATCCCCAAAAAGAACCTCAAAAGGCACAAATTTTATTGCTAGTATCCTTTAATCTATAAATACATTATGGTATACACCCAAACTTACCAGGTTTAGGTACTTCTAGACCTCTTTCTTTATAGAAATCATGCATTTGCTTTTTTTCTCCTAAAAAATGATAAAACACAGGCTAAATTACACTTAAATGTAACTAGTAGAGTCAGAGATTCTGGGATTCACAACTACGTAAAAAAAGAAACTTACTTTCCTCTAGATTGATCACTAATTTGTACACTATGTCTTGTAACTGTCGGTCCAACCTAATAAAAGGAAAGGATGGAGAATACCTCAGAATTCAGAAAACGCATTTTTGTACAGTGAGTTTAATTGTGAGTTAACAAAATTAAGTGTGTTTTCTCTTGGGAGTAGATATGGCCTTTCTCTGAAGTGAGTTACTTTTAGGTAGTACTCACAACCCCTAAAATTTAACTCACTTGAGATAACCATAAGTAGTTATGTGTAATCATTACGTATTCATAGATTCTTGAATGGTTCACTAAATGAATTGATTTTATTCTCTTTATAAGAATGTGAGCCCAAGGGCAGAGACTATATTTTGAATTTCTCTGTATCAGCTGCATAACACTCCTCTATGAAAGTTGTAAAAACCTAACAGTACTTGAATATGTGAAAGTAATCAACTTTTAGTATTTTTCTTCTTTCTTCTCTTAAGAAACTGATTGTTATGGAGGATAGTCTGAGCTAAGTAAACAAACAAAATAACTAAATAAAAAGGAAAAAGAAAAAAACTGAGCATGAACAGAAAAATCTGATTAACATGTAACAATGACCTATGACAGATAGGCTTTACTAAAGAGGCTGTTTCAGGTACTCCTTCTTAAAAAAGAAAGAAAGAAAGAAAAAGAAGGAAAAGAATCCCAAATACTTGTATACTAAAAGTGACACACCCAAATTAGCCTCATTGACTTGATAGGACTAAAATTCTCAGAAAGAGAATTTCTATAGAAAGAGACCTATACCTTTCTTTTTATTAAGTTCCCAGCAGATACCACAGTGCCTGGTACATAGTAAGTGCTTTATACATATTTCCTAAAAGAATATGAAGTTCCTTTCTTCTAATTTTGAGAGAGGTCAGGGATTCTTTCCAGCCCAACTTCAGGCTTTCAGGAAAAGCATACTTAAAATACAACTGTTACTCATACATTCCTCTTACCTTATGTTATAAAGAGGTTGTGTTTGATGTACTACTATGTTGCATTTTGGACATCTGTTGCTATAGTAAAAATGTCTTACAATGCAGCTTTTACAAACTGTTGAAAAAGAAAATGTTGAAATTAGGGTGCTTTCAAGATACTTCAAAGTTGAAAATATTCAGAAATGAGAACTGATGCTTACAGGTATGAAGACATTCTGTAATGGTAGTTGCATCTATTAAGTAACCTTTGCAAATGGAACACAAGATGTATGGGGTCAGCTCAGAGAGATTAATCAGGCGCTGCAAATGCAATGGAAATAATTTTAAAATACGAATCCTTGCCTTCCAATTCTTAAACCCTAATCTCGAAGTTTCATTACAAACAATGTGTAACTTAAATGCAACATGGAAACAAATATTTCCCACCCTTCAAAATACTGCTGAAAGTTACTTACAATATAACACAATATAAACTGTGTATCAAAAGAATCTCATTCTCTTGGAACTACTAAATATTACCAGATGAGATGCATGTTACTTCATCAATTACTTACTTACAAAATGGGCAAACTTTCCAGATACTATAGTGGTGTTGACACAGTGTCATTTTATCGCCCTCGGTAGAGTGCCTTGGCGTCACACAGCTCACAGCAACCTCCAACTTCTGGGCTTAGGTGATTCTCTTGCCTCAGCCTCTTGAGAAGCTGGGACCACAGCGCCCGGGTATTTTTTTGTTGCAGTTTGGCCGGGACTGGGTTTGAACCCGCCCCCTCGGTATATGGGGCCGGCGCCCTACCCACTGAGTCACAGGCGCCGCCCTGAGGTTTTTTCAAAATACGGTCTCCCTCAGTTGCCTAGGCTACAGTGCAGTGGCATATCCCAAATAAATGTAACCTCTAACTAACTCCTGGCCTCAAGCGATCCACCTGCCTCGGCCTCTCGAGTAGCTAGGACTACAAAGGTGCGCCACAGCAGCCAGCAAATACTTGTATTTCTTGTACAGACACGGTCTCAGTATAGTGCTCGGGTTGGCCTCAAACTTCTGGCCTCTAGCGATCCTCCCGCCACGGACTCCCAAAGTTGGTAGGATTACAGGCGTGAGCCATTGCACCTGGTCTGGTGCTAAAGTTTACTAGATCGATTCTGACTGGTTAGGTATATTAAATTGATGAAGAATGCGCTACCAAGATTAACAACACACATCTTTCCCCCTGCAGAAAGTGACTATTTCTCCCAGTTGACTGTAAGCTCTTGCAGAGCAGGGAGACGGTACCGTAGGCGCTTAACCCACCTACACGCAGTAGCCTGGATAATTATTTACCGAATGAATGAGGGGGACTTGGAGAGCCTAAGTGACAGGTAGGAACCTCAATAACAAGTCGGCAGAAAATCGGGCCGGGGCAAGGGCCTGTCCGCGCCACACGCCCAGGCTGGTGCGACCGGGAGAGGCAGAGGTCCCCGCCAGTGCCGAGGACTACAGCGACGCGCTGGGGGTCGCCCCGGGCCCAACCGCCGAGGGCCGGCTACGTCCCTGAAGCCACCCAGGCCCAGCCAGGTCCGGCGGGGGCTCTAAGTACCTCTTCCTCGTCCTCCGAGTCCGGCCGACCCCCCTCCAGCCTCAGCGAGAAGTGGCTCATCTCTTCCTCCTCCTCTTCTTCTTCTTCCTCTAACTCTTCATCTTCCTCCAACTCCTCGTCCTCGTACTCGAAGCGGCCTCTCAAGCGGCCCAGGCCGCGCTCAGGCTCCAGCTCAGGGGGCCGGGAGCCGGAGCAGCCGGGAGCCCCCACCTCCAGCAGAGGTGCCGGGCCCTCTTCGCCGGCGGCGGGAGCCGGGGTGAGGGCGGGCGGGGAGACGGGACGTGGCGGCGGTGCGGCTGCGGCTCCCTCGGCCTTAGCTGCGCCCGCGGTGCTCGCCGCTGCAGCCACCACTACCCCCTCCATGGTCCGAAAAAGTCGAGGCGAGGAGAAGAGCCGGAGCGCGCGGGATTCGGCCGGCCACCCTCCCGCCCTCGCGGTCGGTGCGCAGGCGCAGTGGCAATGCGGGGCCCGCCGGGAAGTGTGGTTCGGGTCCCTCACCCGGCCGGGGCGGGGCGGGGCGGGGCGGGGCCGCTCAGGTGCGCCGGGCGGAGCTCGCGGCCGCACCTTGACGAAAACGCGCTCAGTACTCCCTTTTTGGAGGAGTGGGAGAGTGGGGGCGGGTTTAAGGATTTTATTTTATTTTATTTTCCATTTCAGATTAATATGAAGGTACAAACGATTAGGTGACAATGTCTGCGTTTGTTCAAGTCCCTGTTGCAGTTGCGCCATATACCTTGTACCCCTGAGGTGAGAGGACACCAATCCACGCTCCCTTTGAAAAAGCCTCGCGTTTTCTTCACCGCCTTTGAAAAACAGTGAGATTAGTCCCGGTCAGACAACATATTCTCTTCGCATCAACTTATTCACGGAGCCCGGGTGTTGTGGCGGGTGCTTGTAGTCCTAGCTACTCGAGAGGCTGAGATAAGAGAATCGTCTAAGCCCAAGAGTTGGAGGTTGCTGTGAGCTACAACACCACAGCACTCTACTGAGGGCGACAAAGTGAGACTCTGTCTCTAAAACAAAATGAAAGAAAAGAAAAGAAAAGAAAGAGGATGACTGAAAAAGACCTCAGCACATGAGATATTCTTATAAAGACCTGAGTATGTGAGAGCCTCATCATAATTATGTTAGATAAAATCATAGCTTAACCTCTCAACATTGGAAGCGTTACTCAGTTATTCAAACACTAACTAGGGGTTGCTGTGAAGATACTTTGTAGACTCTCAATTAACTTCAAGCAAAAGAGATTATCCTTTTTTTTTTGAGACAAAGTCTCACTTTGTTGCCCTCAGTAGAGTGCCCTAGAGTCATAGCTCACAGCAACCTTAAACTCTTGGGCTCAAGTGATACTCTTGCCTCAGCCTTCCAAGCAGCTGGGACTACAGGCACCCACCACAATGCCCTATTATTTTTAGAGACAGGGTCTCACTCTGGCTCAGGCTGTTCTTGAACTGGTGAACTCAGGCAATCCACCTGACTCAGCCTCCCAGAGTGCTAGGATTACAGGCATGAGCCACCGTGCCCAGCCAAAAGATATTATCCTTGATAGACTGAGTGAGAATTTTCCAATCAACTGAAAGACCTTAAAAGCAAACTGGGTTTCCCTAAGGAAGAAATTTCTCTACTGGACTGCGGCATCATCTCCTGCTCAGCAGTTTCCAGGCTGTTGGCATGCCCTACAGATTTCAGACTTGCTTAGCCAGCTGTCGTATCTTGTAAGGAAACTCCTTGAAAAACTCTCATGCTTGCTCTCTTGCCCTATCTCTGTATCTATCTATCTGTCTGTCTGTCTCCTACTGGTTATGTCCCTCTAGTAAACCCCTGACTTTTATATATGGTAAGTGACTTAATTATGTGGTATTCACAATACATAGCATATGAAGTCTTCTAGAATATGTCTCTCTTTCAGAAAATGAGAATTTCATGTATCTTTATTGCCATTCAATCTTTCAACAAATGGTGCTGGCACAACTAGATTTGCAAAAGGATGAGGATGGGGCTGTGCCTGTGGCTCAGCAGGCAGGGCGCGGGCCCCATATACCGAGGGTGGCAGGTTCAAACCCAGCCCTGGCCAAACTGCAACAAAAAAATAGCTGGGCATTGTGGCGGGCGCCTGTAGTTCCAGCTACTCGGGAGGCTGAGGCAGGAGAATCATCTAAACCCAAGAGCTGGAGGTTGCTGTGAACTATGATGCCAGAGCACTCTACCAAGGGCAATAAAATGAGATTCTGTCTCTAAAAAGAAAAAAAGGATGGGGATGAACCTACCTCACACCATATACAAAAATGAACTCAGGGGCTTGGTGCCCATAGCACAGTGGTTACAGTGCCAGCCACATACACCGTGGCTGGTGGGTTCACACCCATCCAGGACCAGCTAAACAACGATAGCTGCTACAAAAAGTAGCTGGGTGTTGTGGCGGATGCCTGTAGTCCCAGCTACTGGGGAGGCTGAGGCAAGGGGATCACTTGAGCCCAAGAGTTTTGTTTTATTTTGTTTTTCAGGAGTGTGTGCACTTTATTGAAGCCCTTTGTGGACAGGTGTGTGAGTATAAACAGCTGCATGAAGGGTAGGGTCCAGGCAGGACTGGCAGGGAGCAGAGAGCATGGGGTGATGGGCGGTCACTGGCAGCCTTGACAGGGATTTCACTCTATCCATGCAACTGGATGACAATCACAGGGATGATGATGAGCATAACAGTCCCAAGGAGGCTGAGGACCAGGGCCCAGATGTTCAGGTACTTGGCAGTGGAGGCACAGGTCTTGGCCCCAGCCAGGTTGCCCACCATCTTCCTGTACCTAGACATAGATCACGGTGGGAGCAGGGTTGGGGGGGTATCCCCAGCACGGCTACCTCGTGTTCTTCCTTGAGCGTCTCATAGTTCAGGGGGAGCCCTGTGTGGGTTTGTGTGAAGACATTTTGGAAAGAGTGGTTCATGGTGCCGAGAGGAGGCTGCGGTGGTCTGAGCCCAAGAGTTTTAAGGTTGCTGTGAGTTGTGACACCACGGCAGTCTACCAATGGCTACAAAGTGAGACTCTGTCTCAAAAAAAAAAAAAAAAGTTAAAAAGTAGCCAGGCATCCTGGTACATGTCTGTTGTCCCAGCTACTTGGGAGGCTGGGGCAGGAGGACTGCTTGAGCCTAGGAGTTGAAGATTGCAGTGAGCTGTGATCATGCCACTGCACACCAGCCCAGGTGACAGAGTCACTCTGGGTCACACACAAATACACACAAAAATAAATAAACTGGCCGGGTGTGGTGACTCACGCCTGTTGTCCCAGCGCTGTGGGAGGCAGAGGCAGGGATCACCTGTGCTCAGAGGTTGGAGACCAGCTGAAGAATAGCCTGAGGCAGAGTGAGCCAGAGTGAGACCCCATCGACAACAACAAGACAGCTGGACCTTGTGATCCCGGCTACATGGGGGGCAAGAGAACACTACAGGAGGAAGAAGTAAAAAAAAAAAAAAAATTAAATAAACTAACTTAAAATAGATCATAGATTTATATGTAAAGGCTAAAAATATAAAACTCTGAGAATAAAACATAGGTGTAAATCTTCATGACAATGGATTTTGCAATGGTTTCTTAGATATGCCACCAAAACCTTAAGCAACAAAAGGAAAGACACATGATTTAGAATCACCAAAATTTGAACACTTTATATTTCACAGGACACCATCAGTAAAGTGAAAAGACAATTGACATAGTTTGGCTATTTGTCCCTTCCAAATCTCACCTTGAAATTTGATCCCCAATGTTGGTGGTGAAGGCTAAAGAAGAGGTTTGAGTCATGGGGGCAGATCCTTCATGAATGGCTTGGTGCTCTATTAGTTCCCAGGAGAATTGAGATGGCTGACACCTGTAATTGTAGCACACTGGGAGCCCAAGGCAGGTGGATCGCTTGAGCTCACGAGTTCAAGACCAGTTTGAGCAAGAGCAAGACCCTCCTCTCTAAAAAATAGCCATGTGGGCTCGGTGCCTGTGGCTCAAGCAGCTAAGGCGCCAGCCACATACACCTAAGGTGGCGGGTTCGAATCCCCAGCCCGGGCCGCCAAACAACAATGACGGCTGCAACCAAAAAA